AAGCTTTTAAATTCAGAGGAGAATTTTTTAAAAATCTTGAAACCGATTTAGATTTAGGAGTGAAAACAGCAACTGCAATGATCCTTGGAAATAGAATTTGTTGTTGTTGTTTATACAAAAAAGAATACAGAGAGAGAGAAAATCGGTCAAAAATCTCATTTGAAAATGTAAAGCCATGTTTCTTGCTTCACATTTCACCTAGTGGTACTGTTGCAAAGACTGCTCATTTCCAACTTGAGTGTCTGTCGGAATTCGGGTGACAGTGACTGATGTGGTTGCCATTGTTTGTGAAACCAGCTCCCAGTAAATATAATGAGATTCTGATGAACTTGTTTTGTTTATCTTCTGTTTTACCAAGTGAGATTTGAATTGAAACCTGAAAACTCTTTAAAGGAAAGTGCTGTAAATCTGCCAAAATATTTTCTTTTCTGATTTTAAATGATATAGAGTAAGATTGAGGAGGAGGAGATACTTTATTTTTGTGTGTGTGCTTCTTGGATTAAACAGGGTAAAAGTTTAAAAATCTTTAGGAAAATTCCATGTTCTAAAAAGTAAGTAAACTCTCGAAATTCTTAGTTTGAATGGAAAGTCATCTGTTTTGATTAATCCTAGTTTTGGATTCTTGGGCTCTTTTGTAAGAGTAGTTTTACTAGTGTTGACCATTAAAGAGATTACAGTGGCAGGTTCTGCTGTCTGATAGATGTGAGTTAAGTTCTAGTCTTGAAAGCAGTACGTGACTATGAACCTGTGCCTCGGTGGGATGATAATAGTTTCCACTTTTCAGTGTTTTGTGAGGATTAATTTACATAGTGCCAGTGTATCTAACACATTACCTGGTAGAGAGCATCACTTGATAACCACTAGCTATTAAAATTATTTACTGATTATTCATAAGTAATTACAAGATACCTCATTACAGTGGTTCATCTGAAGTCTAGCAATATTATTCATCAAACACTTGCTTAACTATAGAGTCCTTCATAAGTAATTTAGAGTCAACTGGAAAGAAGGCAGCGTCATTAAAGGTATAGTGGAAGAACTGATAGGCCATACTAAGTTATTTATTCTGCCATATGTAAAAGAATGTTTTAGGTGTGTTAGTAAAAAGGTCAAGGTGTGAAAATCCCTACTCTCTAGGAATTTAAATGGAAAAAATAAGAGCAAGCAAGCAGTAGTCCTGAAGACCTGATCACAACTTCAGTCTTTATCTGTGTGATGTTGCCTATTGGCCCAGTGGTGAAGGTTTTTGTTTTCTTTATGTTCAGATGTAATAAATATTGAAGGTTATAGTCTTTGATCTAGTGCAACAAGTGTTTCAAGTCATCCTTGCTTTCAGCAAGCAAGGTCATCTGCATACAGCAGGTTATTGATGGGTTAGTCTTCCTCCAATTCTGATGCCACGTTCTTCTTCATGTGGTCCAGCTTCTCGAATGAAACTGTTAGATGCTGTCCAGTTGGTTACGACTCATAAAGACCATGTGTACAAATAAGAGCAAAGCACAGCCAGACCCTGCCTATCTCCATGCCAATTGATTTTACAGAAAGGCTTCCTTTTTCCCATTGACCTTCTAATTTGTCAGGCATGAAGTCTTCCAAGCACTGGCCCCTCTTGAATATTTTCAAAGTCTGTGACAGAGTCTGGATATTCTCACTTCTTTTTTTTTTTTAATTGATATTTTAATGAAAGTTTACAGAAAAGTTGGATTTCCCTTTATTCCTTGTTGCACATTTTCTTTCCTATCCCCTGCCTCAGTTCACTTTTCTCTTTAAAAGTATTCTTTCATTGTTGCACAGTTTCTTCCTTCCTCCTACTTAGCCCCAAGTCCACTTTGCTATGCACCTCTTATTCTGGACTGTGGTTATGCACATAACACCTAATCATGTATTTCTTTTAGACAGTTCTTTCTGGATATTCTCACTTCTGAAGAGTATTTTGACAGCATTTTTTCTAAGAGAGAATTATTTGTTGTTCTAGCAGTTCCTGGTATATTTGGTGTTCTTTTCCAGCATTGTGATTCCAAGATAGAACTTCTTCAGTCTTCTTATGCTGTGTTTTGAATCAGGTACACTTTCAGGCTCCTCAAAGTGAAATCTTTGTTTCCTCACATTGTAAAATGGTCTTTCACAGCAGAGTGCCCCGTTGTCATTTGGTTTCTTGAATATTACTTCCATGTATTTTGGTTATGAGTCTGAGTAAATTGAAATCCTTGGCTTCAGCTTCAGTGTTTTCTCTATGGATCATAATCTTATTGACTGGTCCAGTTACAGGGATTTTTGCTTTCTTTATGTTGAGGTGTCTAGTCCATACTGAAGGTTACAGTCTTTGATCTTCATCAGTAAGGGCTTCAAGTCCCTGTCACTTTCAGTGAGCAAAGTTGTGCCCTCTGTATATCACAAGTTGTTACTACATTGTCTTCTAATCATGATGCTTCATCTTCATATAGTCAGTTCTCAGATTATTAGCTTAGTGTACAGATTAAATACAGTAAAAGTATACAACCCTTACATATACTTTTCCTAACTTTAAAGCATTCATTATCCTTCACCTGACTTCACAGAGAGTGGGAATGAGAATCATCAAGATCACCATCAGCCCAGTGCTCATTCCTGCGTTGCCAGACACGCCTCATCTCTCTAACCTTTACCAGTTTTGACACCAGTTGTCTCCACATGCACACACACCACAGGTGGTTTCAAAGGGTAGCCAGGATTGAGGATCACTGATTGATCGAAACCAAAATCTTTCACATAATAAAAAAATTCACCTTCTTTTAAAATGAAAGGAAGCTGATTTTGACCTGGAGTGAGTCAGAGAGGTAGGAGCTCAGAAGGAGGCGGCTCAGTCACTGCTAGCGAGGCACTGTGGTTGCTGCTGATTCCTGGGAGCCGGAGCAGCTGGGAGGGAGAGGCGGAGGTGGAGGACACGTGCCTGCGGAGAGGGACACGTGAGACAAGGAGAGGAACTTGTGAGACACGAGGAGAACTTCAGAAGAGCTGCAGGCTGCCTTATCTTGTATAAGCAAAAACAGACATAAATTGGTGAAATGACTGTTCAAGAAGAAACATCTTATTAGAACAAAAACCAGCTTCTCTTCCCACCAGCACTGTCTTTGGAGTTTGCATTCACCAAGTTTTTGTTCATTTATTTTTGCCAAAGTACAATATGGATAAGTGAATTTCAGGGAGACAAAGTGTGGAGAGGCCAGGGAGAAGCTGAAATTGTGGTTGAAAATAGTAGAATGGAAAGTAATGAGAAAACAAAATGCTCTCTTTTCTGTGGGACAGGTCTCTTGTTTTCTGTGAGGGCAGATGGCATTATTTCCTAATTCTCTTTCTTAGAAGATAATAGGATGAAAGAATGGGGTTTGTGCGTGTGAGAACCATACCTGTACATCTCATTTTCAAATAACCTGTTGTCTGCCCACAAACCATTTAAATGGCCTAGGTATTTCAAGTTTTGAGTTTAAACTATATCCTAAGACTACATCTTATCCCTTAATTGCCTGAGAAAGTCTAATTTTAAACTGTTTCCACTTTGTGTTTGGAAACTGGCCACCATTTTAGTCGACCTGTGAGGTGGTCATGAGAATCAATGGTGTGGAAGGATGTAGTTCTCAAAATAAAAGAAAGGATGGCAATCCTTTAAAAGCCAGAACTTTGTAAAGCAGAAATCTGTCAAGAGGAAAACAAATTATTTTCCATTGAATAAGCAGTAAAAAAGTAAAATTGCACTGTCTTAAATGCAGAAAACTTGTGAGATTAGGAAAGTAGACATTCCCATTGAATTCCACTTTTCATTGTAGCTATTAAAGTATTTGTGTTGTAGGAGTCCCTACCAATGTTATCTTTGTTAAAGCTAAAATATCAAGAAGACATTTTATAAAATTATATTTATCTTGGATAAAGGTGCTAAGAGGAATGAGCCCAAGACATCTGAAAGTCTTAGAATCCAAGTGGATTATGACAAAAAGTCCTTTCATTAATAGTTATTTCCTTTAGGGATGACTAAGGGCTTTGGATTGATTGAATGATGTATTAGGATGAATAATTGTTTTTAACAAAAATAGCTGAATTCTGCAATTAGATGATTGGATATTAAATATATTTTACAGAGAGTGGGATATAATTAACCCATGCTGAGTGCCTCTGCTTAGGTACAGGAAAGGGCCATAGGGGAAAGGGTCAAACTTCCTCTAAGTCCATCTCATTGCAGAGATGGAGGACTAGAAAAATAAGTCCCAACAGCACTTTCTGCCACCAATGCCACCATTTTTTCATTTCTGGTAAAGGTGACAGATGCTTAGTCGAAACTGTTAAGGGAGGTGGTGGGAAACACTAGTTCATATTACGGAGAAGTCCTCAAGTAGGCCCAACCTCAGATAAAGCAGATTTGTGACTTAAGTAATATGGTATATACTTGGTTTCTCTTCATCTTCTGTATAAGATTGATTCTTGAGTTCTGTATGGCTCTTCGTTTATTTAGTAGTTCTGTTTTGATGGCAAGATGACTTCGTGAGCCCCAGCTCTTGTCCCCTCAACTGAATAGGAGACCCCTTCTTCAGCATTAATAGAGAGGAACTTTTTGCAGGGCCTTGTGTCTTACAGGGATATTTCTCATCCCTTCAGAAGCCAGCAAGATATGATCTAGGCCTAAGCATATGTTCATCTCTGGATCTAAGCTTTTGGGGCCTGGGGCTCATCCAGGACTGAGATTAGGAGGGATAGATTTTCAAATGAAGATTGGTTGCTGTTATACTGATTGATGCAGTGGCTGCAAGCATGAGAGTTTATTTTGTTGAGTTAATTTTCAGATATGATATAGAGTAGGGACCCAGTGTCATTCATTTTTTTGTTCCCTTGTCCTTAATTCTGTTTATCCCTTGTTCTTCTGTAAAGTTTGTGAATTGTATTTATTAAATCTTTTTGGTCCATAACCAACTAGTATTCTGGAAGTACCTACTGATGTTTATACTAAACACATAACTCTTTTTTTCTTCCAGGTAATTTATCCTCAGCATTCCAAGCTTACGGATAAAGAAGTAAGTAGAAAAAAATTGCTCTGTACAGCTTACAATTGTATTTCTGTTTGTTTTATTGGTGTGAGTGTGTGTGTCAGCATTATATATAGCTTTTGCTTTCTTTTTCAGAAAACCAATATTTGCTATTTGTCTTTTCCAGATTCAAATTCAGGTAACTATTTTTCATGTGGGTTTTCTGTTGAGTTTTGTACTAAGTATATGGATTATATTTTTAATATGTGAATATTGATTGAGATTCTGTGTTAGCATATAAATGAAAATGTCAGCCCAACAAGTCAGAAACATTGACACCTAGTTTGACATAATCATACCACTGTTGCTTTTATTGACTCGGACTTCTAAAATAGCTAGTACATTGCAATGAGATAAAACTTTAAGGAGCAGTATGCTGTTGAAATTGTGAAGAGCTTGAAAATCAGGGACATTAGTATGTTTGAGGGATTCATAGCTAGTTGTTTACTTTTAGTTAAAATTTGGGAGCTTGCCAAGAACTTTGTAAAAACCAAAGGAAGAATAGAGTAAATCTGGTTGTAAATTGTGGATATCATTTATTTACCATAGTTTATGTGAATTAATATATGTAAAGCACTTGGAGTAGGACTTGGCCTTTAGAAAATACCATGTAAGTGTTTGATTTTATTAAGCTTAGTTTTGCTGGTGTCTTTCAAATTCTCCATTTGTGTGGTCCTGATTGTTGAAATCTTTCAGCTTACCTCTCTTGTATTACTTTCAAAACAACTTTTCAGGCATAACAGTGACCAGAACATTCAACTTCTTAGACCATTCACAGTTAGAACCCTTTGAAACAGAGATACCTCAATTCTCCTTTCTTTGATGGCTCCTTCTCATATCCTGTTAACTAAGTTAATCTAATTTGAGAAGGGTGACTTTTTGTTTGAACATTTTCTTCTTTCATTATAAATGCTTCCAAGATTTTCCCTTTTACATTTGGAGCTCAGCTTTTGTGAGATGTGTAAGAGAAAAGTAATGTCTGAGTATATTAGATCTTACTGCCTTTGAGAGATTCCAGTAGGACTTTGATTCTAACCTGAAGTTATTAGATTCTTTGTATGTTCTGCTTATTAATGAAAAGGGTGGTAGTGAGGTTTTATAGAGTCTGTGTTTTGCGAGAACGTTTTCTTTCTGAAACCTGCATGTGTAATTCTGAATATAGTGAGTGCTGGTTTGGATTCCTGGACTTGGATAGGCTAAGTTGTATGGATTACAAAATAAACTTTGTATAATTGGTGGTTTATCAGATTACACTGCATGCTTTTCTGTGTAGAATTATAACTAGTTATTATAGTTTCTTCTCTTTTTTGCCCCTTTACCTGGACAAGGCTAAGAAGTTGACTAAATAATATTTCAATATACTTTTTTATTTCTATTTTTATAATTGGTTTCAACTCAGATATAATCCTCTATAAACCAAATCTTGTTCAGTTTAGGCATATGAGTGACCCAAAGATATTTTGGGTTTAAAAAATATTTTTTTTTATAAGTTGTGTTTGTTTGTTTTAATTTTATTATTTTGTGTGTGCGTACTGTCAAATTGGATCTGACTGGTACAGGAGGAGATTGCCCCTCCTTCTCCAGCAGGTGAATCTGGTGGATTCAAACTGCATACCTCTGGGATTTCAGTGCAGTTTCTTGCCGCTAGGCCACCAAAGCTCCCTCCAAAGATATTTTGTAATATCACTCTATAAGCTGTGCATCAAGTGCAGTGTAATTAATGTAACACAAAACTGTTACTTAGAAGTAAATCAACAGACTATTTTGAAAGCAGGCACCTTGCCATTTAACAGATGAACATTTTTCTAGACAGTCAAGAGACTGTGTTTTGTATGTGTTTGAGATCACTTTTCCCAGTTGTGATTATGCCGTTTGTTTCTCTTCTGTATATATTAAACAAATGTTAGGATTTTTGTGCCATATTTGCAATAGATTTAATTTTTCCCAAAATAGTTTTTATTGCTATGGAAGGAAATGTAAGCACATTAAAGGAGTCTTTAGGAAAGAATCATAAACAAGATCTCATTTCCGAGATAAGCCACGGCTTCGGGAGCGGCGGCAGGTTGTGCGGGGCTTGAGTCCCTCTAACCCCTCCCCCAGAAAGCCATCGCAGACGCTGAGTGCCTGCTCCGCGGTAACCAACCATGTGCGACCGAAAGGCGGTGATCAAAAATGCGGACATGTCGGAGGAGATGCAACAGGACTCGGTGGAGTGCGCGACCCAGGCACTGGAGAAATACAACATCGAGAAGGACATCGCGGCCCACATCAAGAAGGAGTTTGACAAGAAGTACAACCCCACCTGGCACTGCATCTTGGGGAGAAACTTCGGTAGTTATGTGACACATGAAACTAAGCACTTCATCTACTTCTACCTGGGCCAAGTTGCCATTCTTCTGTTCAAATCTGGTTAAAGCATGGACTGTGCCCACACACCCAGTGATCCATCCAAAAAACAAGGACTGCAGCCTAAATTCCAAATACCAGAGACTGAAATCTTCAGCCTTGCTAAGAGAACGCCTCCATCTTTGAACCTTTGTTGTGTTTTGTACAGGACCTTCCTCTGTACCAGTTTGTTGTGGTTATAAAGCAATTAGCAAATAAAAAAAAAATATCTCATTTCCATAATGCACACTTAAAAAAAATAAAACATTTTAGACTATATGGATAATGATAGATAAAGAAAAGTGCTTTTGAGATTTCCACTGGCATGGTTTAGCAGTCTCTTCCCTCATCTTCGGTCCACTCCAGTACACTTTAGGGTCCTGTGACTTTGGAAAAAATAATTTCTTTAGTTAACTTTTAGATTTCAACTTCTTGTTTCATTTATATAATGATTTTTAACTTTGGGAACCTAAATTTAATTTACTTTCCTTCTGATACATTTTTGTCAGATTTCTTTTTATTTTATATGCTGAGGGTCTAGAGATGAGACTAGCTCTTAATTTCTCATATTTTATGTTAGTCTCATGCCTTCACATCTACTTTTTAATTGTATTTGTGTTAATATAATAATAGATTTTTCTTAAATCTTTGATATTGTTGATACAAGTACTATGTTTACATGTAGTTTTGTGGTCCTAATTTGAGTTGCAAAGGTAAGGGAAAATTACAGAGTAATATGTTGCCCTTTATAATGTTAAAATAAGAGGAGATCTCTTTTTGCTATTATTGTTATGTGCCATTGGGTGCCCACGACTCATAGCAACCTTATGCACAATAGTTTTGAACCCTCCCTTGTCATGAACCAATTTCAATGTCTCCAACACACCTACCCCAGTTACTGTGTCACTCATCTCATCCAGGGTCGTCTTCTCTTGTGCTGTTCCTCCACTCTTTGAAACATGAGAACCTTCGGCAATGACTGGTCTCTCTTGACAGTATGCACAAAGTATGTGAGATGGAGTTTCAAAATCCTTGCCTCCAAGGAGTGCCTCGGTTTCACCCTTTCCAGGACAGCCTTGTTAGTTCTCTTAACAGTCCATGGTATAATCAGTACTCTTCTCCAGCACCACAACTCAAAGCATTGATCCTCCTATCATTTTTAGTCATTGTCCAGCTTTCAGATGCATAGCAAGTAATTGTGAATATCATGGCCCAGTGATGATAATCTTTGTTTTCTTGATATTGACATCCAGTACATATTGAAGACTGCAGTCCTTTACCTTCTATAGCATATGCTTCAGGTCATCCTCAGTTAAGCAACCAGGGTTGTGCCATCAGCATAACACAGGTTGTTGATAGTCTTCCTCCAATCCTGATGCCACATTCTTCCTCATAGAGTCCAGCCTCCTGAGTGATGGGTTCCGTATATAGATTAAAAAAGTATGGAGATAGGATGCATGCCCTGGTGTACACCTTTCCTGATTTTGAACCATGCATTATTTCCTTGCTCAGATCTAACAACTGCTTCCTGGTCCAAGTATAGGTTTAGCATGCGCACAATTAAGTGTTTTGGAATTCCCATTCTTTTTAAGGTTAGCCACAATTTGTTATGGTCCACACAATTATATGCCTTTGCATAGTCAATTAAACACAGATTCATCTGATATTCTCTGCTTTCAGCTAAGATCCATATAATATTGGCTAGAGGTCTAGTGCCATGGCCTCTTGTAAACCCAGCTTGCATATCTCGCAGTTCTCTGTTGTTGTACTGTTCTAGTCATTTTCAGATAATCTTCAGCAGGATATTGTTTGTGAGTGATATTAATGATATTGTTAGATAACTTGCATACTCTTTTGGATCAACTTTTTTGGTTTAGAATAAATGTGGATCTCTTCCAGTCAGTTGACCAGGTAGTTGTCCTCCTGATTTATTGGCACAGCCTGGTGAGCCTATCCAGGGTAGCATTTATTTGTTGTTATATGTTGATTGGTATACCTGTTCCTGGGGCTTTGTTTTTTACGTGTTAAGTGGGGACAGCCATATCTGACCTTTAACAGCTTCACAAACAGAATCATCCCTATCAATACCATCAGCAACACAAAATCAATTCCCATGAGGTCAGACATGTCCCCCCACATCCATACCTCTTTTTACTCATCCCAACACCAATCTTACTGCTTTACTTGGTCCATATTCTCATGTACTAGCTCACAGACTACACAAAATCGTATTGAGGAAGTCAAAGGCTATAGCGGAATATGGTCAGAACAGCTTCTGAAATATGTTCACAGGTGCCTCAGCCTTGAGCCTCATGGCTTTAGGCTTGTGATACAGAGCTCTCAATCCTGCCAGTTATGACACTGGCCCCTCTCCCCGAGTTGTCTAGCAAACTTGGGCAAAGGCTTTTAGCTCTGGTTCTGTGGCGTGGCAGACCCAAGTTCCCATCTCATGGAAGGTCTCTGGATCTCTGCTATGGCTGCTGTTCCCATAAGCCCTAGTCTGGCTGGCTCAAGAATCTCTGGCTCAGAAGAATGCACTACTTTCTCTTGCTGCTTTTTTTTTGCTGCTGGGGAAAACTCTCCTATTCTGCTGCTGGATTCTCTCAATTTAATGATGCAATTAACCAATCCCCCTGTGGATTGATGAGACTGGCCAGTCCCCTTGTGGATAGGCTGACACACCCTATTCACATATTCTTGCCTGTCCAGAAGACAAAGTAATGATTAAGGAAGCCATTTTGGACAATAAGCCCTTAACAGCACACCATGGGCTCCCTGCTTAAGCATATTATTGGCACTGAAGGCTAGTTAGTAAAGAACCCTGTATTCTGAAGCACATTTTTCAGAAAGACACTTAAAATTGTATTTAATTTTTTTTAATTAAAGAAGCTTAAATCTCTGCTTCAGTTGGCAGCGAAGTTATTAGATGCTGCTGAATTAACTACAACTCATAGTGACCCTCTGAACAACATATCTGAACCAGCCCCATCCTGCATCATCTTCACCATCTCTTATATGCTTGAGTCATTACAGTTGCTGTGTCAGTCTGTCTTATTGAGGGTCTTCCTCTCTTTCTCTGACCCTCTTACCTTTCTCTGTATGATGACTTTTCCCAAAGACTGGCCAGCCTCTCCTGACAAAATGACCAAAGAATGTGAGATGGAGTCTCACCCTCCTTGCCTTTTAAGAAGCAGACAAATTTGTTTGTCCTTCTGGAAAGCTCTGAGATACTCAGTACTCTTCTCCAACACTACAGTTTCAAAAGCATAGATTTCTCTCCTTGTCATTTTTATTCATTGTCTAACTTTCAGATGCATAAGAAGCAATTGAAAATACTTGAATTGGGTGCACTGTAATCTTAAACTGGCACTATTGCTCTTTAGCACTTTAGAAAGGTCCTTGACAACAGATTTTTTCCAGTGTAACACATGTTTTGATCTCTTGATAACTGTGATTGTAGATTCAGGTAAAAGGAAATCATTGACAAGCTCAGTCATGTATCATGACATTGCTTATTGGTCTAGTGAGGATTTTTATTTTTTTATATTTCTTTTTTATTTTTGTTTTCTTGATATTGAGATACAGTCCATATTGAGGCTGTGGTCTTTGATCCTCTGCAGCAGATGGCATTTAAAAAACAAAACAAAACAAACTCAACTTTATTGAAAGTATAATTCACATCATGTACAGTTCATAAGGTACAGATTAATGGCTTTTAGTATATTCACAGAATTGGACAGCTGTTACCACAATTAACAAAAAAACCTCTTTAACCTGTTTTTTTCTCCCCCAGCCCAAGGTAACCAACCATTAGTCAATTTGCTCTCTGTCTCTTTGAATGTACCACCTTTTCCATCAGTGATGAGGTGAAGACTTAGAATGAAGGACTAGCAAGATAAGGAGTAGGCATTGCTTCAGTTGCTTCAGTGTTCAAAAGGACAGCAGCCTTCTGAGACATAAAATGAAACTTTGTTTGCAGTTCATAAGGACTCTATGCCTAAAGCGTTTTTGACCAAGTGAATTAGCTCCCTGACCAACTCTTTACAGCTTGAGGGGTATAGCAGATAACTGGAAAGTTCTCACAGCATGCTCATGTTTTGAGTATTGAGCCAGGTGAATAGAAACTCTTTCATAAAGCTCAACATTCCTTATGATTTCTAGTTGGTACATCTTCTTCTTAACATAAATTGTGCTCTAATGCATTTCATTATCAACAATAATAACTGCATTTTTCTGGTGTATACTCCTCTGCAGACTTCAGACAGATATTTTCTGAAGAGAAAATAGAGTCCTTAGGATGCATAATGAGTGAATTAAAATAATGCTATATCACCTTATTACAGTGTATTTCTCATTTGTTCCATTTATTCTCCTTGATACTTTTAAACTATCTGCCCTTAAAAGTAAAGAAACTGAACTAACTTACCCTCCCTTGTTCCACCAAAGATATAACAGTTTCTGAAATTGCATCTAGTTGACATATAGAATGATCGTTGGCATATACTTGAGTTACTTTTTGAAAGTATTTAAACATCTTGTTGTATTTCAGCCTTCTTTCTTTAGAACTTCATATGCTAAAGAAATATATTTCTGAATTTAGTAGTACATAATAATATTTTGATTCATTTCATATTTAACATAACCTTATTCTAAATATATTAACCAAGAAGAATTTGAATAACAAATTACTACAGATATTTTTCATGTTATTTTTAAAACAGATCACTTTTAGGGAGCTCTGGTGGCCTAGTGGCAGGAAGTTGCACTGCAGTCCGAGAGGTATGCGGTTCAAATCCACCAGATGCTCTGCTGGAGAAGGAGGGGGGAATCTCCTCCTGTACCAGTCAGATCCGATTTGATGGTACACACACAAAAAAATAATAAAATAAAAAAAAAAATTTAAAAACAACAACAACAACAAAAAAACCAGATCACTTTTAAGTTTTATTACCCAATCCTAAATTCTTAGACAGTACAGTTTAGTTTTGTCTGCTTTTTAAAAACTGTATAAATGAGTAAAAATAGTATTGGTTCTTTTGTGTTTGACAGCTTTGGTTTAAGTCAATTTATGTGAAAACAATTTGTAAAAAAATTTTAATTACACAGGCAAAAATGAAATAGAAGAAAAGAGTAATGGGACTTGGAGCTAAGATGCGTGCTTTACTTCTCTGTCTTACCTGCCAAGCATGACATTGAGCAAGATACTTGAACTCTTAAGGTTTTCTTTTTCACCCCTGAAACATAGGTAGTATCATTGCTAGGATCCCATTCATCTCTCAAATTGATGAATCTGGATAAACAAATGTTAAGCTAAACCATCCTTAATTTCTCTCCTTTTTTTTGTTTTTATTAGGTTGTCTTGGAGATACCCAGTTTTGTTTTAGATTTCGTCAGTCTTCTGGGCGGAGGATGTCACTGCATTGTCTCCTGGATCAGTTTGACAAAGATTTGCCAGTTTTCTTAAAGGTTGGAAAGTAGTAATAGAAAAATGTCCATATGAAAGGAAACTATAAAACTCAGTTACTCAAACAAAAAAAAAACAACTCAGTTACTCAGGGGAGCTCTGGTGCCCTAGTGGCAAGAAGCTGCACTGCAATCCCAGAGGCGCACGGTTCGAATCCACCAGATGCTCTGCCGGGGAAGGAGGGACAATCCCCTCCTGTACCTGTCAGATCTGATTTGACAGTATATACAAATAATAAAATAAAAATAAAAAAAAATTAAAAAAAAGAAACAAACCAAAAACTCAGTTACTCAATTGCCTTTAATAATATCCAGAAATATTTTGCTTTTGTTTTGTTAACTGTAGTATGCAGATAGATTTCCCAAGTGAATCTAATTTTTAAGGATTCAGTATGTAAATTATAGAGACTTTAAAAATGTTACTGAGTACATATTATAAAATATGGAATAATCCCATTGAGAATTCTAGAAATGGATTAGAAGGTGTAATTTCCTCTGCTTTGTTAATAACTCTGCTTAAACAGGGATGTGGGGTGTTGTTAGGTACCATTGAGTCCAAACTGAGTTTTAGCTGACCCTCCACTGGGTTTTCAGAAACGAGAGATTACCCATCTTTCTCTTGCGGGGCTGCTGGTAGAGTTGAACCGTTTTCCTTGGTTTGTCAATTTTGTTTGTCACTGCAAAACCGCCAGAGCTCCTTTGGGATGGTATTACATTAGAAAATACCACGTAGCGTTAAAGAAGTTAGCCACTGAAGTAATCCTTACAGATTTAATAATTGAATTGCAGGTGTCTTTTTTCCCCGATTTATTTTTTTAAAAAAAGAAAAATTATTTTAATTATAATTTATAACAATTTGGCTAATTCTGGGACCTTTCTTTTTTTTTTTTTGACCTTTCTTTTTCTCTCCCTAGCACTCTACATTTCCATCTAATTGATGAGGGCCATTTGTATATCTTATCCCCAGATCTAGTGTGAGCTTGACATCATTTGCCTGAAATCAACTTTCACAGTTTACCTTGTTTCTGTAAATGACAGAAGAAGGTTTACAGAGATCACCAGTCACTACTACAGAGTTGATTCTGCCATGTAACACACCTGTAGAACAGGGCAGAACCACCTCGTCATTTCCAGGGCTCTTATCTTAGGGGAGCAGAGCGCCATGTCTTTCTCCTGCAGACAAAGCGTGTTCTGACTGCTGACGTTTGGTTAGCAGCTGACTGTTTAACCCCTGCTCCATCAGGCTTTCTTTTTGTAATGATAATTAATCAGCAAGATTAACTGAAATTTCTTGTGATTTGCTACCTAATAGATTCCAGCTCATGGAATATAGCTATACACTTCTTTTAACTAAAACTAATAATAAGCAAAGCCCACTGCCATCAAGTCAGCTCTGACTCAGCAAGCCAATAAGACAATTCTGTAATTGTTGTGTACTGTCGAGTTGGAACCAATTGATAGCTGACCCTTCACTAGATTTTCAGAGGCAGTAAATTCCACAGAGGGAGATTGCCTGTCTTTCTCCCACGGAGCAGCTAATGTATTAGAACTACATACCTTTGTATTAGAAGCACAGTTTGTTACCACTGAGCCACCAAAGCTCCCTAATAGTTGGACACTAGAATAGAGTTGAAAAGCCAGCACTGTCATATCTTTCTCTTACTGAGTGGCTGGTATGTTGGAACTAGCTTTTTATTAGTGACTAAGTGCTTTAAACTCTGCACCATCAAGACCCATAGTGTTTGTTAGAGCTTAATATATTTCAGGCAATGCATTAACAAGCACTAATATATTACATATTTTATTAATCTTACCTGTATATGTGTGAGAGAATTTTTTTTGCAGGAAGGAAATTAATTGTACAGTAAGGTGCTGCCAGATAAAGTGTATAGACCCTGTTTTCCTGAGTGGATTCTGTCTCACAGTGCCCTGTAGGACTGAATAGAATTGTCCCTTCAGGTTTCTAAAGCCATAAATATTCATGTAAGCAGATTGCCTCATTTATCCACCCGTGAAGCAGCTGATGGATTTGAACCGTGCACCTCTAGCAAGTTAGGTTTTTTCCTAGCATTAATAGTTACTATTTTGTTCGAGAAGCACAACTAACTTTGTATTCCTCATACCTGGATTAACTTTCTAAAGGAACCTAATGTTAATACTATGGCTACAAATATATACATATATGTATGTTATTATAATTTTTATATATATTTTGCCCCTCTTTCATAGAAGGATCCTGCTTATTTTTATGGATATGTGTATTTCCGCCAAGTACGAGATAAAACTCTAAAAAGAGGCTACTTTCAGAAGGTAACTTCAGATATACTAATAGAGTATTTTTTTTATATTGTGATTAGAAAAGTAGAAACGGAGAATTCTGCAGTCTTTGCTATCTTTCCTTTAAAGATACCAGAGTTCATATCATTGTTTTATTTAAGTTATGGAAATCTATTCCTGGATTTTGAACTGTAACTGAATTTTGCCTTTCTGGTATCTCTGTAATAGAATCTAATTACAGTTGTTACATCAACTCTGTCAAAAGCTAAAAATGTCTGCCTAGTTTTGATAGTTTAGAATAATAATAAAAAGACAAAAAGTTTGTAACCTTATTACCACTGAAGTTGAAAGCCTGTAATAATCTTTTAAAAGAGCCTATAGGTTTTAGCTACATTCTTAGCTGTTTTTGTTTTCCCTAAAAATATAGTCTGTTTCTTTCTTAAAAGTTAGTAAATAAATAATTATTTGATCCCAAATAGAAGGAACACAATCTTTTTGTCATTTGTAAATAGAATTTGCTTTTATCCACTCTCTGAAGTGAGCAAACCATAACATCTCATTTTATAAGTATTTAATAATGGATCTCTAAAATATATCAATCTTCAGCTCTTAGTTGCAAAAGGATCACAATTTATTGTTTTTGGAAATCATCTGGGTAATTTCTGATAGAGCTTTGTGGTGACTAGATTCTAGAAATGTTTCATGGCATTAGTCTGTTTATAGGAAATTCTTTTTCGTAGAGAGCTAGAATAATCTATGTCTTTATTCTTTAAGCTTTTGCATTCTGTCATCATAATTTTCTGTTCCCTTTTAACAATCTTATGTGCAATTATATATATTTCTACATCCACCCTTTAAGGTAGATGTGGCTTGTTAGTGATTGTTCATGCAAGAAATGAATAGCAAATGAAAATTATTGCCATTGAGTAGTTAAAAACATTATTTCTTTTTTCCCCCCTTCCAGTCTTTGGTTTTGATCAGCAAACTACCTTATACTCATTTCTTTCATACTGTGCTAAAACAGATAGCACCAGAGTATTTTGAAAAGAGCGAACCTTATTTGGAAGCAGGTGAGTTAAAAATTATGTGAATTATGTGCTTCACATGAAGGAATAGTATAAATGAGTAGTTAAATGAAGTTGATTTAGGAGAATGTCAGATAAGAATTTAAGAATCATAGGATGAAAGGGAGAAAGAGAAATGTGTTAAATTCTTATGGCGTCTGACCTGTTGTTATTATTTTAGATGCTATCAAATCAGCTCCAACTCATAGCAACACCAGTACAGAACAAAGCTCTGCTTAACTACACTATCCTCATAATCTCTCTTGGGCTTTAAACTCATTGTAGTCACTGTGTCACTCCATCTGGAGAGTCTTCCTCCCCTTCATCGACTCTAATCATGATGTCCTTTACCAACCATGATGACCTTTTCCAAGGAATGGCTCCTCCGAATAAAGATTTGCAGGGTATATGAAATGAAGTCTTAACAGTCCTTACCTCTAAGGAACACTCTCGCTCTACCACTTCCTGTTTGCTTGTTTTTTTTGGAGTCCATGGGAGTCAATAGTCTTCATCACTATAATTCAAAGGCATCAGTCCTTTCACGGTTTTCCTTATTTGTCGTTCGGCTTTCACGTTCATGGGAAACAATTAAAAATACCATGGCTTGAGTCAAGCACTAAAAAGACTGTATTACATCTTTTGCTATCATCTTATGATAGCTTACTTACACTGAATCAGTTCCAACTCAAGAGCACCCCCCTCTGACAGAGTAGAACTACCTCCAGATTTCCTGAGGCTGTTGTAATCTTTACAAAAGCAGGCTACCCCATCTTTCCCCTAAAGAGTGGGGTTGTGGCTTCTAAACTCACCTCTCTCTTAGCAACTAATTGCTTAATCAGTGTGCTACCACTCACTTACTCATTGCTGTTGATATGGACCCAACTCCTATCTGACCCTCCATTGGGTTTTTGGAGTCTGTAAATAACACTAGAGGAGATTGCTCATCTTTCTCCCAAGGAGCCACTGGTGGTTTTGAACTACCAGAGTGACACCACATTTGGATTAGCAGCGTAACTCCCTACCCACGAGGCCATCGGAACTCCCTACTGTGCTTCTAGGCCTCCTTTTTCTTAGAACAAAGATGTTGCCTATTTATTAGGACGATGTTTTTTGTTGTTGTTAGGTGCCTTTGAGTCAAGTCCAACCCCGAACGACCCTGTCAACAACAGATTTGAACTTGGCCCTATCTTGTGCCCTCTTCACACTTCCTGACGCACTAGATCCTGTTGAGGTGGTACTGTGTCAATTCACCCGGGGTATTCCTCTCCTTTGCCAACCCTATGCCTTTCCAAACATGATGTCCCTCTCCAAGGAATAGCTTCTCCTAGCAAAATGGCTAAAGTATGTGAGGGGAATTAATCATAATGTCCAAATATTCTAATGTAGTGCTATTGAAGAGAAATCCATGTATTATTTGATATAGGAGAAAGACTGGCTATGTGATTCTTTTCATAGCTAATATTAGTTGTAATAAATAAATAGGAAATATCCCTTTAAATAGTTGTTTTCAGATGATCTGTTAATCAGTTTATATCCTAGAATATATGTCTATGTCTAAGTGAAATGTAACGTAGTTTCATCACTTTTCTTTTTCTCTCCATCCTTCCCAGATAGGGTATACACATTTGGGTAAAAATTTATAAAGCCAGTTAGTTTCCCACTCAATATTTTATACATATTTTGTCTTGTGACATTAACTGCATTCTATATGCTTCCTCACTGAGTTCCCTATGCCCATTTATCCATCTTTTAAGCCTCTTTCTTCCTTCCAAACTTTGCTTTTGGGCAAATGCAGCCTTATGTTGTTGATCTTCCCAGTATAGTTTTGCTTCAGTTATAGAAGTTTTCATTCCTAATGCCTCATTTTAAATATTTACACTTGAACTGAGGAAATACTTAATTGTATTTTCCAGCTTGTAATGATGTTGATCGATGGCCTGCTCCAGTGCCAGGGAAAACGTTGCAGCTCCCCATCATGGGGGTAGTAATGAAGGTAATAGCTTACACCTCATTTGTTTCCTTGAAGAACTCTAGGAAATGCATATATGGGCTTTGTTGTTAACATTTTAATCACGTGGAGTGTCATTCGTTTCTCATTGATGTAGATGTTACAACAGTTGTGTAACCTTTGGTCACTAGTAGTATACAGGTGCAGCCCCATGGTATCCTATGGTGTTCACCCCAGGTGTAGTTATGTATCATAAACAGGAATGTAAGTTCTACCTTGTAGATTTGTGCAACTCCACCACTCTAGTCATGCCTCTAGATATCTATGGTCTTGAGAAACAAGTCTCTCAACTAGAGTATTGCGTATGAATTAGTAAAAATTAAGAGAGTTTAGTCACTTGTCCATAGTCCTAAAGAAGCTTCGTAGCATTTAATGTCAGACCAAGCATTTCATCCCAGGGCTCATCTATAGTTTTGGAAAAATGGATTGGCTTTTTTGCTCTTAAGTCTTGCATAAATATATACTCCAGTTCTTTTATAATCTGTTACCCAGTTGCACTTATTTTTGGCAGTACTTTCTTTGCGTAGACTGATTTCCGTAGGATCTGCATTCTGCTTTTCCCCAGGAAATAATTAAAAGTAGTACTGATAGGTCTGTGTTGAGGTTTCTCATAGTTTCCTATGTTATTTATCCCGAAATTTGGCAAGTTGAAAAGAGTATCTTGGGTGTGTCTTCATTAACAAAGCAAAGATTGGAACCATGAGCAGGAATTAGTATGAAGCCCATGTCCTGTTCATTGTGTTTGCCTTTGATTGGCTAATGATTTCTTTGTGTGGAGACTTTGATTCACTTACTGTCTCCTGTGACTAAAACTGATTATGACCTTAGGGGTTTTTTTTTTTAATTTTGAGATGAATATTTTATGTTTATGGCTTTACAGGCAAGGCTGAGTGTGCTTTCTAGCGGGTAGTGGGACTAGCAAATTGCAGAAAGACATCCTTTTCACACATTCTTTTATAGCTAACACATTTTTTTTTCCTGTTTTTAATTTTAAGGTCCGGATTCCAACATGTCATGACAAGCCTGGAACAACTCAAATGGTGCAGTTAACTCAGCAGGTAGGAGAATAATCCAATACATATGTATAGTCTCCTCAGTAGAATTCTTAAGCTAGTTACTATCACACTTCAGTTTTTATGTCAATTAATGAAATATTCCATTAAATAACTTTTTAAAGATTTCGTAGTAAATGACAATGTTTCTTGGTGTTTTTTTCTTTCTCTTTCTTAGAGAATCCATAAATGATAATATAGTAATTGTGCGGACAAAGAGAAAATACGTCTGTTGTCAGCAAGCTTCAGTTTTAACAAAACTATCCATTCATCTTATGTGTAGCGGCCAGCAGACTTTTGTATTTAGGATTATTGTAAATGTATTTTGTAATTATAATTACTTTATATTTTCCCCCTGAAGATACATCTGCTTGTAAATAGAATTGATTTTCATATGAAATGTTTTTATTGATGTATTGGCACTTTCTTTTTTTATTTCATAAAAATTGAACATAATATGTGTAATATTATACACAGTTGGGAATTAGGCCAATAGCTGACAACTAGATTATTGCTTTTTCCATGGAATGTGTGTCATCCTTGAGCATTCCTAATAAATCTTGTAGGTAAGATTAAGAAGCTTTTCTCTCTGGCTCCTCTTAGAGGAAAATAATCTTATATTGGAGGACAAGGAAGGGAGCTCTGGTGACCTAGTGGCAAGAAGCTGTGTTGCAATCCCGAAGGTGCATGGTTCAAATCCACTAGATGCTCTGCTGAAGAAGGAGGAGCAATCTCCTCCTGTGCCAGTTGGATCCGACTCGATGGTACACAACAAGAAAAAAAAGTGCCTATCAACTCAAAGATTAATACAGAATTATACACAGAGTGATTATAACCTTGGTAAAAACTCAAAATATTAAATTGACTTATTAAAAAAATAAAGGAGGACAGGGGAACTTGGCTTATTGATCACCAGATAAATAGCATATTTTAAAAACCAGTGCCTAAAGATTCTTTATGACACCTCTACTATTTCATCTCTTCTTTATTTCTTAGGCAGATACAAATATATCTGTTATTTTGCCTACTGTGCACGAGGTGGATCTTTTCAGGTGAATATTTCATTTCCTTATTAACAGTATTTATTTTGAGTTGTGATATTGGTGTTAATAATTTCTTTAGCATTGAATGTTCTTAAAGAGGATGTGGAAAAAAACTGGAAGAAAATAGTCACTTGGTTTCACATAGTATGAAGCAGTAATCCAATCTTTTTTTTTTTTAAGTGGGAAAATTTTAATTAATAAGCATCAAATAGACTTTACATTGATAACTGCAATACTGGTAATTCCAACATTTTCACTTTTGTTCTCCCAAAAAGTAATCCAATCTTGGTTGCATGTTAAACACTTTGACAAGTACATTTATTTATGGATTGGATATTAGAGGATACAAACAAAATTACTTTTTGTTCAATTTGAGGTGAAATGATATTGCAGTAATATACAGAAATGTACTTTCTAGAGAGTTGCATTTTAAAGGCTGGAGGAGGAAATACCATGAAGATTACATTTTATTTTAAAATACTTCAGTGAGAAGAAAGTAGTTGAATTAAAATGGCCAAATATTTTTCTTATTCTAAGTCATATGTATATAGAAATTTTTACACTATTACCTTTACTTTTTGGTGTTTTGAAAAATTACCAAGACTCAAGAAGAGAGAGATAATCTAGCACTTTAAAAAGAAAAGACAAGAGAGCTCTGGTGGCCTAATGGCAAGAAGCTGCACTACAATCCCAGAGGTACGCAGTTTGAATTCACCAGATGCTCTGCTGGAAAAGGAGGGACAATCTCCTCCTGTACGAGTCAGATCCGATTTGACAGTACACACACAAAAATATAAAAAGAAAGGACAGCGTGCTAGTACTTGTGCCCTTTCTAGAGTGCCTGAATCAGACTCTCTGCATCGGTGCCCTGGTTCCAGCTCCTCAGGTGGTTCTGATTTGTAGTCCAGCATGACAAATCACGGTTGTCAAAGAGCAGTTGCTGAACTCTTAAAACATATGAGCTGGAGTCATGGGAAACACTTAGAGTGTTTAGGTGGTTTTTTTGTCTGGGTGGGTGGGTGGGTGTCTGTCTGTGTCTGTGTGTGTGGGTGTGTGTGTGTGTGTGATATGTGTGTGACTTTTAGACTACAGATGTTGCTGTCCAAATACTGATTTGTGATTTCCTAGATTTATTTTATATACTGGATCCTAGCTGAGCTCTGCAATCCCACCTCTCGTATTCATAGCAGCATTAAATTAGAAACCACTTGGATATACTTCAGCTAGTGAATGGATAAACAAAATGTAGTACCTTTATACACATGGAACACTGTTTAATAATTTAAAAAAACCCATACCACCATTGATAGACAGTATTAATGATCAGAAGCATTATGTTGAATAAAAGAAGCCAGATTTAAAAATCTATTTACTGAATGATTCTATTTATATGACATTCTGAAAAGGTAAAGTTATGGGGACAAAAGTCAGATTAATCATTGCTTAGAAGTGGAGGAGGGAAAGAAGCAACAACAATGGGGAAGAGAGAGGTTTTTTAAATAACATTTTTTAATTATGATTTTAACAAAAGTTTACAAAAAAGGTAGATTGTCTTTCCTTTATTGAGGAGGAAAATTCCTCCTCAAGAGGGAATTATTTATTTGTTTGTTTAAATAACATTTTTGTTTTGTACTGCTTTCCTTACAGAGTTCGTTTACATTCTTTTTCACACCACATCTTTCCCATTTGCTTTACCCACTCCTTCCTCTACCCATCAAATTGTGGTACCCTGTGATTAACCAACACTTACCCCCACCCCACATCTTCACCCCTCTCCTCCCTACCACTCTCCGTCACTTGGATTCTCATACACATTCTACAATAATGGACTTATGGACAGTATATGTCCTTATAATGGTCTTATATAGTATTTATCCTTATGGGACTGAGTTCACTTAAAATATTGCTCTCTAGTCCCTCCCAAGTAAGGTAGTGATTTATAAAGTCATTGCTCCTGTGTGCTGTATAGTAGTCTGTCTTGTGACTGTACCATAATTTCTTAATCCATTCAGTTGTGGTTGGACATTTGGACTTTTTCTATGTTCTCATGATGGTAAATAACACTATAAACACTGGTGTACAAGTGTCCATTTGTGTCTCAGTTCTCGTTTTCTCGGGCTATATGTATTCCAAACAGTGGAATAGCTGGATCATATGGAATTTCTGTCTTTAGCTTTTTGAGGAAATGCCAGACTCCTTTCCAGAGTGGTTGAAAGAGGGAATATTTTTGAGTGATGTTTGGTCAAATAAGATGATATATCAAAAGCATCAATTTATAAGTACATTCAGTACACATCCTTTGGAAAATGAATTTTTCTTGTTTGTTTCAAAATAGAATAGTGAAATCAGTGCTGATCTACCATTTGTAAAATAGTTTTTAATGTACTTTTCATGTTTGTTAACTATCCCATGTATCGGTATATTGTATCAGTTTTTTCACAGATTTGTGTGGCATCCTTGTGTGAGGGCCATGCTAATCTCTGTATCTTTCCAGTTTTATTAAATGTGCTGCTGAAGCTAGCACAAGTATATTGTATTGACTTATAAAAATAGGAATAGAGCTAAAATGATATTTTTATGTGGATAAAAGGGACTTAGGTCTGCTTTAATCACCATATCCTCAGTGAATTTGTGTGTCAAATCAAGAAAAACATCTGGAAGAATGTCTATCAGTGTGATACTTTTAAAATAATTATATAGGAATTCAAAAAAAGTAAGTGAATCACGAAATATTTCTACTTTCAGGTGTTTCTGCCCCGTTTTCTTTCATAGTCAGATGCTGTGGGAGTTGGTACTGTTGGGAGAGCCCCTCGTGGTCATGGCGCCATCACCGTCAGAGTCATCGGAAACTGTCCTGGCGCTTGTTAGGTGAGTCTATGAGGTGGTGCTGTGGGCAGGTTTTCCTGTCTGTGATAGGTTTCCACTCACATCAGTGCTCTGGGTCCACACATAACTAACCCTGTACAATGGTTATGTCCATAACAGCACCAAGTTGTGGGTGAGAGTGGAGATTTCAGGTTCTCTGAGAGCTAGAACCCTGCTTTTTGTTATTCTGAATACCAAGTGTATTTATTTTCATGTTGACACTTCATAAATATTATTTACATTCATTTTCAGTAACCAGACTAAGGTAGAAATGATAGAGCCAGAATTCTATGCTATGCTCTCCCCCAAATCCATTTTTCTTACCATTTGCCATTATACATTATGTATTTCCATTTGTTTTTTTAACTTCTTGAAGTGAGTGTACCATTTATTGAAACAAGTTGTCTGGTGTGTCCACACTGTATAGGTGTTTTATGATTGCTGAGGTGGGACTTTGTGTCCATTGTGTGACGTGTTTTTCCTCCTCCACAGCTGTATTTCCCCACTAAAATACTGCAGCGATTTCCGGCCCTATTTCACGATTCATGATAGTGAATTCAAAGAGTACACCACTCGTACTCAAGCCCCGTGAGTAAAACAAAATCATTTTTATTGCTCATATTTATAATTTTATATTATTTATCAAGTTATATTTTTATAACTTTCACAACCAAAATTATTTTTTGATCTGATTTTGGAAATTACTTTAAAGTTGAATTTTAATTTTGTACTTGTCAGGAGGTGACTTTTATAAAGGAAAGTTTAGAAAGTTGCTGTTAAAATTTCAGATGTCAGGAGTCTGAGTGATTTTACTCATTAATTGATGTTACCTTGTTATTGTTGTGGTGTTATTGTGTATGTTGAGTCGGAACTGACCCATAGCTGGCCCTTGGCGGTTTTTCAGAGGCAGTTAATCAGGAGATTTCTCATCCTTTTCCTGTGGAGCAGCTGGTGGATTCAAAGTGTATGCCTTTGGGATTGCAGCACAACTTCTTACCACTAGGCCACCAGAGCTCTTTGTCTTGTCATTAGACCTTCCACGTGTTCTTCTGATTCTGCCTTATTCCCTAATCTCAGAACTTCATACTGCATCAGTTCTATCTTCTCATTTTTGTAACTTTCTTTTCTTTCTTCCCTCTTTGTTGACTCACCATATAAATATGAACAATCTTCCCAATCTTCCTTTTTTCTTTGTTGCTAACTCCCTTGCCATAAAGTAAGCTCATAGATCAACACAAACACAGTGAATCTGCTTACTGTCTGTATTTCTTGGTATACTGGTTGCTTCTCAGCCCCCTGAAGGTTTGACTTCCACACCCCCAGTGAAGGTGTTTTTGTCTGATCTAGTGCAAATATTTTTGTCTTGTTCTTCTGGCCTGCCTTTAAGCTATTGACCTTGAATGTATTTGAATCCTTGATCTCTCTGTCTGGTCATTGTCTTTGTTCCTCAGTCTCCTTTGCAGACCTCTCTTTGTCAACTCCTTAAAAATCGGTGTTCTTTCTTACTGTATTCTTGGTTCTAAGAGATCTTTCTGTACAACCTTTTCTGACCTATCACCTTTGTTAAACATCTATCTACTGGGCCTGTAGGAGAAACATGTGCAATCTCCTCCTGTACAATTTACAGCCTCTACAAACCTGCTGGGAGAGTCAGCGGTGAATCATTTCCGACTGATGACAATAGGTTGAGTGAGACTGATGACTGAAATACTTCTTAGCTCAGGTCTCTGTGGGGTCCAGACCTGTATATCTAGTTTATTCATTACTTTGCCACATGGTCATCTTTATGTGCCCTTAAACTAAACATGTTCAGACTGAATTCTTCTGATCTCACCCTGATCTCTCCCTGGGAGAGCTCTGGTGGCATACTGGTAAAGAAGTGTGCTTTCAACCCAAAGGTGGTTCCGATCCACCGCTGGAGGGTCATCAGTGATGAGTCACTTCCACCTCAACGGTACATGGCAGCAATTACAATCTCTCCCTTCACCTTTTGCCTCTTCTATTTTCATAGGTGGCAGTACTTTTCATTTAGCTTTCAGAAACGTCACTTGTTGTAAATTTCTCTTCCTTAACATGCCCTAAATAAAATTTTTACCAATTTTGTCCATTCAGTGTCTAAATCTCTCTCATAACATTTCTTACTTTCTCTCCATAGCTCCCTTTACAGTGTTACTGCTTCTAGTCTTGTTGCCCCACTGTCCTTTCCCTAACTCTGCCCTCCTTGTAGGGCATTTTCAGAATCCTCTAGCGTGATCTTCACGTTTTCATTCATGTGGCAGTCCTGCAGCCCCCTAGTGGCTTCCCTTTGCTTAAAAGTTCATCTCTAGGATGGTGAAACTTACCATTCTTTGGACATGTTGTTAGGAGAGATGTCTTGTCAAAAGACATCATTCTTGGAAATGTGGAACGGCAGCAGAAGAGAACATGACCCTCAACAAGATGAATTGACACATTGTATCAGAGATACATTGACACATTGTATCAGAGATGTTGAGGATGGCACTGAATAGGGCAAAGTTTGGATCCATTAATCATAGAGTTCCTGTGAGTCGCACAGTAACTAAAAACATTTCCTTAATGATTGTCTATCATCCCTGCTTTGTACTCCAGGAATTCATAACTGTTTGTAGTTCTACAAACAGATCAAGCTCTCACTTCACTGCTTTGTACATAATGTTCATTTTTTCTGTATCACCTTTACCTTCTTTATCTACTTGGTGTAAAACTTCTCCTTTGAGGTCTCTTTGCAAATATGATCTCTTTGATAAGGCTGTCCCTCAGTCCTCTGATAGAGACAGGCTTTGCTTTGTGATTACATTTTATGCCACTGTCACTGTCTCCTGATTCCTGGTATCATAATTTGGTATGTAAACCGTTCTTTCTAGCCTAAGTGTTCTTGGAAGGATTGTGTCTTTTCATCTTTATATATCTAGTGCCAATTGTGTTGGCATATAGATGATATGTAATACATTAATTCAAAACAATGTTCAGCGAGCTCTGGTGGCCTAGTGGCAAGAGGCTGCTCTGCAATCCCAGAGGTGCACAGTTCAAATCCACCAGATGCTCTGCTGAAAAAGGAACAATTTCCTCCTGTACCAGTCAGATCTGATTTGATGGTACACACACACAAACAAGAAAATAAAATATAAACAAACAAACAGTAATGTTCACTCAGAAATAAATTGTAAATTAGTTCTCACTAATTCATATTTTCTCCTTCTGTTTTGGTTTTTGTTTTTATGAAGGCCCTCAGTCATATTAGGAGTAACCAACCCTTTTTTTGCTAAAACACTCCAGCACTGGCCACACATTATTCGAATAGGAGACCTTAAACCTGCAGGTAAAGTATCAACTCTCCTGTTTTTATTATGTAACTTGCCTGAGCAGGCTTATTTCTTCCCTCTGTTACTTGTTAGTTATATTGAAGGCAACCTTTTACTAGGCACCTGAGGAAAGGCCTTTGAGGATGAGCCTAATTTCCCATTAAATTATACCAGTTCTCAGGTACCTAACCCAGCATGCTCACTTACCCAAAATAAGGGGTGCATTTACAGTGTTGTAAATACTGAATACATTTGAATAAAATTAAACCTCAATAATTTGAGCCTTTAAATCCATATAAAACATATTTTTGGCACTACTTGAGTAAGACCTTAGAGAAAGCACAAATTAGTCAAGATTTGGCACAAATTTCTTAGTGACATCTGAGAAAAATGTACCTCTGTGGTCCTGGTATGGATAAAGGAGTGGTCAAAAGATTGTGCCTTTCATGAGAAGAAAACATAGACATATTTATATCTTATGCAATATCTTCCTTATGGTAGGATTGTTTGATTTGTTAACCTAGATTTCTCACTGGACATTCCTGAATTTTACATTGAAATGGTGGAGACCTGTAAAGTATTCACATCATTAGTTAAGAATCTTAAGATGTTATCTTTTTAATATTTTCCTTTTTAATATGCTCAGGTATTTCCATTTAGTAATATAAATGTACTCTGAGTATGTAGAGTCAGAGAATAACATCTTGAGACATAGCGTTTACAAATATGTCATTCAGTTTTACTCGGAAATGCTTAGGTTCCTTGAGAAATAAAGGAAAGAGGAAGAACTTCACCTTGGCTGTGAGAGCCGTGTGATCTCAGACAGAAGAGCCTTTTAAACCTCAAATTCTTTGTCAGCCAGGAGGATAAACAGCGTACACGTGGCACTCTGCAAGCGTCACAGTCTCCATGCCATTTCTCCCCTGTCCTGACTTTTATTACCCACAGTCTTTGTGAGGTTTTTTTCTTCTTTTTAATCTTAATTATGATGCTTTTAGTTCATGTTTCAGCCCTATTAATCTAAACCATTTGTTTAATTGCAATATAATACAACACTGCCCATTTTCTTTTTCCATTGTATAAAGACTTTGGGGGCATTTAGGTTGTGGAGCTGTTACATGAAATTGTTGAAGAATAGCATTAATTAATGTATCTGTTAACTTTTTAAGAAATTGCTAAACTCTTAGACCATCATCTTGGGGGACATCAATATCAATTGTTATAACATAGTCCATAAACACAGTGTTGGACATCTTCCTTTATGTGTAGAAACTGGGGTCTTAAAAACTTGTGAGCACCATCTAAGGTAGAACTACTAGGTTCTTCTTATCCAGAGCCAAGGGAAATGAAGAAGACAAAAGACTCAAGGAAACAGTCCACAGGACTAGCAGAGCACTTGAACCACAACCTTCACTAGTCAGACTAAGACTGGATGGTACCTGACTTCCAAACCCACCTTCTCTGATAAGGATTACCAGAGTGTTACCTAAGCAGAGTGGGAGAAAATTGTAAAACAGAATCCAAAATTGTAAAATGAACTCTGTCAGACTTGTTAGTGTGATAGAGATGGCAGGAACTCCCAAGGCTGTGGTCCTTAGTCAGTCTTATTGACGATCTTTCAATCAAATAATAAATAGATAGGCCTATAAAGTGAGCAGGCCTGTGAGGAAAGTGCTGCTGCTCATCCAAACAATTAACCGCACAATCCAAAAGGGCAATATCTGCCAATAAACACAGCTGAGAGGCAGGAGAAATGAGTAACATAGGGAGGAAGTGGAAGAGTGCTGCTGTTCTGAGGGAACTGCAGCCAATACAGTGAACAAAATGAATATAAATAGGTAGATAGGAAACAAATTTGTTTTCTTAACTTTTACCAGAATGGGGGAAAAAAAACCTAAATTACCAAAAAATTTTTGTTTTGAAGATTAAATGTGTTAATATATGCAATATGGTTAGACCAAATTGGCATGTTTTGCTGTTGAGTCAACTGTGACTCATAGCAACCCTGTGTACAACAGCTCTGAACCCTTCTCTGTCTTGAGCCAGTCTCACCATCTCCGACATACCTAATCCCATTATCCCAGTCACTGTGTCAATCCATCTCATCTCTTCTTCTTCTGTGCTGTCCTTTTTTACCCTTTCAAACATGATATCCTTCTCCAAGGACTGGTCCCTCCTGGCAACATGCCCAAAGTGTATGAGATAGAGCTTCAAAATCCTTGCTTCCAAGGAACAGCTTGGATTCACTCCCTCTACGATAGACTTATCAGTTCTCTTGACAGTCCATGTTATGTTAAATACTCTTCTCCAGTATCACAACTCAAAGGCATTGATTTATTCTTCTATCCTCCTTGGTCATTGTTCAGCTCTGTGATGCATAGCAAGTAATTGCAAACACCATAGCTTGGATTGGGTGCACCTTAGTCTCTAGACTGACATCATTGCTCTTCAGCACTCTGGAGAGGTCCAAGCTGGGTTTAGAAAAGGCCATGGCACTAGGGACATTATAGCCAATGATAAATAGATCTTAGCTGAAAGCAGAGAGTACCAGAGGAATGTCTGTGTTTCATTGACTATGCTGAATCACAAAGAACACTTGATTGTGCTCATGACAAAAGTATACTTGGACCAGGAGACAGTCTTCAGAATGGGACAAGGAAGCACTTCATGTTTCAAGATCAGGAAAGGTGTATGCCAGGGATGCATCCTATCTCCATATCTTTTCAGTCTGTATGCAGAACAGATCATTCAGGAGGAGAAATGTAGCATCAAGATTGGAGGACGACTCATTAACAACCTGTGATATGTGAATGACACAACTTTACTTGCTGAAACTGAGGAGTACATAAGCCATTTATTTACTGTAGAAGGCCAAGGACTGCAGTCTTCATTATGAATTGGGCTCAACATCAAGAAGACAAAGATTCTAATTGGCAGCATCATGATAGATAGAGAAGAGATTGAGATTTTTAACAATTTCAGCTTGCTTGGCCCCACAATCAACATAAATTGGCATAGAGTAAGTGTTTAATAATGGTGACTCTTACTATTAAAACTTTATTGTCTCTAGCTCTTTAAGCAACATGATCCTCATGCTTATAAGTTTAACTCTATCTGGGAAAGTCTTCCTTCCCCATGGATAAATTTTTGTTTCTCTTAAAAACTAGAAAACCTACTGCCTTTGAGTTGATTCCAGCCTTGGGTAGCCATCCATCAGGTTTCAGAGGTAACTCTTAATAGGAAGAGATAACATCGCCTTACTCCTGTGGATTAGAAGTTCCAGCTTTTCAGTTGGCAGCACAACACAATCTGCCCTGTCCCTGAGGCTCCTGCATATCATCTCCTTTAGGAAACCTGTCATTCTTCCACTTCTCCTTGGCTAAGACTGTCTTCTGTGTCTCCATAGTATCTTGTCACACTTCTGTCCTACCACATATCTTTCCGTATTGTCATTTCTCTTTGTCTATCTTCATAGGAGACTGTGAGCTTTTGTTGTTTTTGTTTTTGTTTTAAAATTGTTGTATACCATCAAATTGAATCCAGATGGCACAGGAAGATAGTGCCCCTCCTTCTCCAGTGGAGCATCTGGTGGATTTGAACCGCGCACCTTCGGCTATGAGCTTCTGGATAGCAGGACGTAGTTGTTTCATTCCTGCATTATCAGTACTATGGTTTTACTAATGTGTACTGAGCAGATGGCACAGGGTCAGGCAAGGTTTTCTTCTGCTGCACATAGAGTTGCTGCATTGGAGCTGACTTGACAGCACCTAACAACAGGTCTGTGGTGTTTACTTTTAGTATTGGAGCATTTGTCACAATTAGAATCTAGACTCTGTTGCTCTGCAACTTTTATATTTTTGAAATTATGTCAAAGTTAAAAGTTTATACAAACCCCTATTACTATAATGTGCGCTCTTTACATTTTTTTTATCAGTACCAAATTATGTAGGATTGCAAGTAAAAATCCTCCCTGTTCTATAACCTCACCCTCATACATAAAACAGCAGTTGAAGCTGTGTAATGATTTAAATAGATATTTTGTCAACTTAGGAGGTTGAATTAACAAATAACTATGTACATTCCATGTTCCAATTATTAAATTATGTTTATAATTTAAAAAAAAAAACACAGACAAATTACACTGGGGAAAAAAAATAACCATGAGGTAGAAACAACACATTGACCATCAAGGGAATGGACAGAATGGTACATTAACAAATTATAGTACTTTATAAAGTGCAGAAAGCTCTGGTGGTCTAGTAGTAAGAAACTGCACTGCAGTCCCAAAGGCTTATGGTTCAAATCTACCTAATGCTCTGTGGGAAGAAGATGGGCAGTCTTCTCCCCTACAATTAACTACCTCTGAAAACCTTCTGGACAGTTGCTCTGGGTTGATTCAGACTTGATGGGACAAAACAACATCATGTAACATTAATAGTCTTCAGGAATTATTTTTGGCTTAAACTTTAAAGATTATATTGAGACAATCACTTCAGAAAGTCTGGAGTACGTGTGAGTTTGAAATTTTGTTCTCCATTTTTTTTCTATTGGTCAAGATTGTTTTCTATGAAATTTTTAATTAAAATGTTTGGAAATGGAAAATAAAAAACCAAAAACTAAACCTAGGAGACTGTACCCCACTATTTGGGATACAAGAGATCATGGCTCTACCCTTTGAGACCAAGACAGCCCTGTTTCCTGTGCTCCTTCCACGCAGTTGTGTTCACTTCTAAGCTGCTCCAGGGATATAGTCTTTTTCTTTTCTCAGCTCTTTTGGTCGGTTCTTGTGTGTAGAAATCTAAGAGGCAGACAACTTTCTTTCCTTTCATTCTCTCCATTCTCTGTTTTGTTCAGTCTAAGCTGTTAACATTTTCTGCTATTGTACCTGGCTACATTCATCAGTGACGGTCTTGATATCCTTAACCCGTATTCATTGCAGTCTGAATCAGAATTGACTTACAGGTGAACTTTCAGTGGGCTTCCAAGGCTGTAAATCGCATGGAAAGATAATCTATCTGTCTCCCATGGAGCTGCTGGTGGGTTAAAAGTTTGATAATTATGTAGCATTCTCTTTGGTGATCATTCTAAGACAGGTATCCTTAGTCTGTACAACAGAATTTTTCAATTATTTTAAGTTTTGTTGCCATTTTACACAGTTCTCTTTTAATTCTCTTTCTTCTTGTATTTTACTGTAAGCAGCAAGGACACACCAAGTAATTCAGTTAAGATCTTGCTTGGTAATCTCATTAGTCAGATAGACAAGTTCATCATTTGCAAGTTTTACCTTCTATCAGATATTTGAACATAATTCAGAAAAACTGCCACTATATAAAAGGCATCACCCATTCTCCACTATTCAAAGACTTGTTCATCGTTTTCTTTTAAAGCCTCACCAGAACCACATGTAGCACGTGTTCTAGAAACGTTCTGCTGCTGGCACCATATGGACTTTCTAAGATGATAGAGACTCTACCTTTCCAAGCATAATGTCCTCTTCTTAGGACTGGACCCTCTTGATGCTGAAAGTTGACCCCATTCCCTCCAAGTGGAATACGTTAAAAAATACTTCTTGGCTCCAGTGTTGGATGATGGTGAAGATAATACAGGATTGGACAGTTTCCTTCTGTTGTACATGGTGTCACAATGAGTCCAATAAGACTATGACAACTAACAACAACAGTAGTAGTAGTGCAGTGAGACTTTAATCTTCCTAGAACTGCAAATAAGATATTTTACCTCCATTATCCATTCCAAACTTTAATTATGTGTAAATTTTTTTTAAGTTAAAAAAAAGAATTAACAAAAGAAAATTGAATTAGATCATCTCTAGGCTGTCTCTCAATCTTTAGGCTCTCTCTTATTCAAAAAGAAATTTTAAAAAACCAAAGAAAAAATCTACAACCACGAGAAGATAAACTAGATGAATGGGACCTTCTAAGAATCAAATCCCTATACACATCCAAAAACTTCTCCAACAGGGTAAAAAGGGAAGCTACAGATTGGGAAAAAGTTTTTGATAATGACGTGCCTGGTAAGAGACTTATATCTAGCATTTCTAAAATACTTGAGCACCACAACAAGGTAAAGGTAAACAATCCAATTGAAAAATCGGCACAGGATATGAAGAGACACTTGACCAAGGAAGATACTCAGATGGCCAACAAGCACATGAAGAAATGTTCAAAATCCCTAGCTCTAAGAGAGATGCGAATCAAAACAAATATGATATATTATTTCACCCCAGTCAGAATAGCAAAATTTAACAGAACAGCAAGCAACAAATGCTGGTGAAGGTTGTGGAGAAACTGGAACCCTTATTCACTGTTGGTGGGAGTGTAAAATGCTGCAACCACTGTGGAAGGCAGTATGGCGCTTTCTCAAAAAGTTGCAAATAGAAATACCATTTGACCCAACAATTCCACTACTAGGAAAATACCCCAAAGAGACCATAACTGCCACCCAAGCAGATATATGCACACCCATGTTTATCGCGACTTTGTTCACGATAGCAAGGAGTTGGAAACAACTTAAGTGCCCATCAACAAATGAATGGATAGAGAAGCTGTGGTATGTTCACACAATGGAATACTATGCTGCATTGAAAACCAAGGAACTCATGCAATATTATTCAAAATGGGTGACCCTGGAGGACATTATGCTGAGTGAAATATCTCAGTCACAAAGGGACAAATACTGCATAATGCCACAGCTGTAAAACAGGACTGATACCGGGGTTGGGGGGAGACTGAGAAACTTGGGATAAATAATGTATACTGCATTGAAACAGATGAGGGAGAAAACTGTTTAAAAGGATATGTGATTAGATATAATGACAGGGGTCCAGAACAAAGGCTACATAGTGGAGTGGAATTGGGAGGGGGGGGAATTATAAAACAATGGGGGAACTTCTCTTTTAATTTTCAAAGTGAAGAGTGTACTGGGTGGGGGGGTTAGGCAGGGAGAAAAGTGCAACAGTGAATGAATGGAAATCCAAAGTTTCATTAAAATAAAATTAAAAAAAAACAAAGATAAAAGAACCCCAACAAATAAAGATTCAAAGAATGGAAGGGAAAATTATACTTGATTCATTATGTCTGAGACATTTTCAAGTGTTTATTTTGAAGCACTTTTCTGCCTGTTCTAAAGGGTGCTGAGTTGTAGCTGCGTTTGAGCTCAAGACCAACTGTCCCTGAATATGCTGCCCAAGTTACTCAACCCTGGAAGTCTTCTGCCTTCTAGAGATCAGACCTGTATATGGGGTACACACTGTCGCCACCTAGTGGTAGCGTAAATGTCTACAGTCAAAAACCTCATTTAGAAAAAAATCTTTGAAGACAGCATCTCCATTCTCACTCAGTCATTGCTTTCTATTCCTTTCATTAAAGAGTATTTAATTTGTTTGCCATGTAAACTTTAAGTGTATATGGAATATAGATTTAAAATTACAGTTGAATGACAAAAGGAAAATTTTAAGTTAGTGAAAAATCATGTGTAATTACATAATTTGAACTCATTATTTTCCCATTGCTATAATCTAATGTTAGTTTTATCCAGTTTTGAAGTACCAGAAATAAAGTCTTAATTGTAAATTGTTGTTAAGAAGAATGCTTTTGCTATAAATGACAGCCTTGGTTTAGTAAATAGTAAACTTAGAAACTTCCAATTTTATGTAACTCTAAGAATCTTTATAATATTTCCTTCAGGTGAAATCCCTAAACAGGTCAAAGTGAAAAAGCTGAAGAACCTAAAGACTCTGGATTCTAAGCCTGGTATTAGCTTTTTAAAATTTTAAATACATACTTAAACAGATAGTTGAGGTTTTTTGCTGACCTTATTTCTATCTTTTCATTCTTAGGAGTCTATACTTCTTATAAGCCATATCTAAACAAAGATGAGGAAATTATAAAACAGTTGCAGAAGGTAATTACTTGTTCACATTAGTAATTTAAATTTCCTGGCATAGACTGGTATGTGCAGGATTACTTCTGTTGGTTGACACATATCAATTGGAATACCATCCGTTACTGAGGCCTTACTTTTCACAATGTCTTCAGTGCAGCTTTAACTGATTTCTTCATTACCTTTGGTTCTTAATCATATACTACTTCCAGAAATGGTTCCATGTCCAGCAAGATGAGAGTGGATTTATCTCAGGAGATGAGAGTAGATGCAGTCCACTTCTGAATCCCTCAATTACATAGATCTTGGTACTTCCTGGTCCCACTTGAATAAACACAACTTTTTCAGTGATGGGCTTTTTGATACAACCTTATTGGCCCTTGTCAGCTAGCTCAATTGCTGTCTTGCAGATATTGACTCTTTCCCTTTTTTTTTTAAGTTTTCCACTTCCTAAACAACATGCCTCTGGAAACTCTGTGAACTTTTGTTCAGAGAGTTGCCATGAGTTGTGCTGGATGCCAGTCAACAAAACAACAGAGTAATTGAAATTTCTTAGTTCAAGTTAAACAAAATAACAGTAGTAATGTGAAATGTTACCTCTCTTTTGAACAAGGCTTGATACAAATCAAGAGGCTAAAGTAGCAGCAATTGTGAGCTAGGAATACAGGTGCTTCAGGGACACACTAGTGCCAGCCTTCCTGGAAATTGACAATAAATAGTGAGTGAAACAGCTGAAGACGACCATGTAGAATGAATAGCCAGAATCTTTAGAACTCTTTAAATAGTAATAATACAGAAAGTGTGAAATAGAAATAGTCTTCGTTGTGAGTTGATGTGTTTAAATACTGGCTGAATGAAGCTGACTAAATTAGAGACTCAGATTTCCTAAGGTTTTGTTTCATGGGATAATGTACAATGAATTTATGTTGTTAATTTAAGGCGAAGTACAATTTTTTTTTACATTTATAAAGTGTAAATATATACTTAGATAGTAATGGAACTTCTAGAATTATCCATTGCTTTCTTTCCCCTGACACTAGAATATAGGTTGTCATCTTTTCTTGTTTAAAGGGTGTACAACAGAAACGTCCTGCTGAAGCTCAGAGTGTTATTCTTCGACGCTATTTTTTGGAACTGACACAAAGCTTCATCATTCCATTAGTAAGTTAATAAACACAGATGTGTTTCATTCAGTGATTTGTTCAAGGGTACCTGAATGGTAAGGGACTTTTAGTGTGTGATGTGAGCTCTGGGGTGAAGTGGGTGGATGAGCTCTGGGGATGTAGTGTGTAGCATGGTGCTAATCAAAAGGCCAGGTGTCTCTGAATATGAATCAGAATCAAACAGCAAGGGAGCTCTGATGGCCTAGTGGCAAGAAGCTGCACCTCAGTCCCAGAGGTACGTAGTTTGAATCTACCAGATGCTCTGCTGGAGAAGGAGGGGCAATCTCCTCCTGTACCAGTCAGATTCAATTTGACGATACACACAGAAAAAATAAGAAAATAAAATTAAAAAGTAAAAAAGAACCAAACAGCATTGAGTTTTGTTTTTGTTTTGTTTTTGTTTTTTTTGGGGGGGGACTAACCGAAGTCAAGTTTTTTATTGAGTGCCGATTACGTACTAGGTATTATTCCAAATACTTGGGACACATCAGAGAGCAAACAGATCCCTGCCCTCATGGAGCTTACAGTCTAGCATTTCCCACTTCACTTGTACACTGACCTGGGCAAGTCTGTGCCTCTCTGTGCCTCAGCTGCCAAATGGGAGGAATATGCAGAATCAGCACAGACCATGGATGACATGCTTGCTGTTCTGTAGATGCCAAACAAGACCCTTACCCCTTGCCCTAGCCTATCTCTTAGGCAAGAAATAGGGCTGGATGTTGATTTTTAACAGAGCACACTGGGGCTAGGGGGTTGGAGCTGGATTGTCTGCTGTGCGATGGTGGTGGTAAAAGGGCTGTGCAGGGCTGATGATGGCTACACAAATTGTTGCTGCTGCTGCTGCTGTTTCTTGGTGGCTGCCTTGCTGGCTAGGTCCTTGGCCTTCTCTGTAGCTACCAGTGCTGTCTCTTTTGCCTTTTCCTTGGCTTCCTTGGCAGTTTCAACAAGTGTCTTAGAAGGGGCTTCACCTTGTAGCTTGGCCAAGATGTATTCAAAACCCTTTATAGTCTTGGTCACATTGTTTTTAAATTGAGCCAGACCAAATTCCTGGACAGCTCTGGAGACACCAAACAAGCCAGAGGAGACCCAGGCTTCTCAGCGGATTTCGGTCCAACCACTGTTATCAGAGTTCACATAGTAAAACAGCGTTCCTCCACCACCATCAGCCGTGCATGGTTGATGTTCCAGGTGAAGGTGGTCATGGTCTGATTCTGTGGGTCCACAACAGAGTCCTCCAGGATATACACCGAGTGAGCAACATTGGCAGGAAACAATCGCTCAGCCCAGTGGGCATCCTGTTGGTCTTGGTCAAGAGTCTCCTGGACAGGAGTTTCTGGTCAGGGGTAACCTCCCAGTGTACTATGTCTTCCGTCAAGACATGTTTGCTGTAGGGATTCGGGTACCGCTGCCAGAAGGCGCGAACACTTGGTCCCAGGAACTCCTGAGCACGCTCTGGCCCAGGAAATATTTCACCATTGTCCCGGCCGGGAAGGACTCAACACCCGCGAAGCATTAGGAGTGCGGAGCCCGGGGAGGACGTGGAGGCCAGGCCAGAGCTCGGCGCCAGCCCACCAGGCTCACTCAATCACCACCGTACTGCGCCCAAGTTTCCGCCGCCATGAGGAGTGGTCAGGAGGTGCTCCGAGTTTGGTTTTTTACATACGTTTTTCCTTCTCACCAGAACTTAGCTGTTGAGCACTCAGTTTCCTAAAATCCTTGCCACATAGGATTAAAAAAAGTGTTTAAAGGATTAAGAAGTGTTAAAAAGGAGAACACAAAAGATCAAAAGATATGGAGCATATTTTCTGTTACATAGTGAAGTTAATTACAGTCATTAAAATGTCTTGATTCTACAAGATTTACTTGAATTTTAAAAAATTTTATCATGATGATATATATACACACACACACACACACACATAAGTGCATATATATACTAAGTTGTTTTTATGGGTTTTGTTTTTTTTTTTACATAAAGGTTACCATTTTTAAATATATATACAAGTCCACGGTCTTAATTGCCTTTTCCATATTGTGCTACCATCCCCACAGCCTATTCCCTGAAGTTTACATCACCCTAAACTGAAAGTGCCCCAGTAGCAATAATTCACTTTTTCCTCCCCTCCCCACTTTTATACAACCCCCTGGTTTATGTAAATTTATAAGTTTTCAGAGTTCAGCCATGTTATTGCATATATCAGAACCTTATTTTTCTCTATGGCTGAATAATATTCCAGGAATTATTTACATTTTTTTTGAAAATCTGATTCCTTAGTTCTGTCCAAATTTAGCTATGTATGTTATGGTATGTGATTCAGTTGTTAATATCTATTAAGAGTGTGTGATGAAAAATGTCTTGCAGATGTATCTGTAAAAGTTTTTGAAAACTGGATAAAAACATCCAACTTTTTTCTTTTGTTTTTTAGGAAAGATATGTAGCAAGCTTGATGCCTTTACAGAAAAGTATTTCCCCATGGAAGGTATGAATATATTCAGATACATCCTGTGAATTCTCTAAGGGCAGTGAACTCTTGTGAGTATACCCATTTCAAAATTTTTAAATATAGCATGCCTTGTTTTCTAGAGTCCACCCCAGTTAAGACAGTTTCATCCAGAAGAATTTATGAAAACCCTTGAGAAAACGGGCCCTCAGCTGACCTCTAGAATAAAAGGAGACTGGATTGGACTTTACCGGTTAGCCTGGTTTTTCTTATTTTCATCCATATATAGAGAGTTGTTTGTTTTTTTTAAGTAGTAGTCAAACTGTATTTTTAAATGCATTTTTTAAATTTTTGTAGGCATTTTTTAAAATCTCCTAATTTTGATGGCTGGTTCAGGACCCGGAGGAAGGAAATGACCCAGAAATTGGAAGCACTCCATCTAGAAGCTCTTTGTGAAGAGGTTAGTAAACAGCCTCTTTGTGCTCTTTAACCACTGTGTACTGAAAATGAACATAACTATCCTTAGAAGACTATATTTTTACTCCTTTAAAATGAATGCTAATTTTTCTACATCATAATCTTCATAGCAGCTCAGTGAGGTAAATATGTTGCAGGTTACCTGAGGTTTAGAAGGTAGGTGACTGGCCTTAGTGCATATCCCTGCTGAGTAGTAAAGCCAGCAGTGTAGTGACACCCACTTTCACTGGCTCCCAGGAGCTGACTGTGTGCATCCATGCATCCCATGACCTCGGGTTGGTTAGCAACACACAGAAATTGGTTAGCAGTGCAGTCAGATACGACTTACAACAGCAGAGCTCCTTTACACTGAAGAATATGACAAAGGCTACAAACCGAGACTTTTTTTGCAGACTGTTTATTAAACATTTACCAGTGTACCGCTGGGTAGAGCCAGCATTCAAATCCAAGCTGTCTAGCTTCAGATCCTGATATTTTCCAGTATTTCTTACTCAGTTAATATTCACAGTTTTTCTTATGTCTATGTTGACTTTTTCATATTCCATAACTTACTGCTATAAAGCTCTGGTGGCCTAATGTTAAGAAATGGTGCTCCAGTCCCAAAGGCACAGAGTTCAAATCCACTAGCTGCTCCACAGGAGAAGGATGGACAGTCTTCTCCTGTGTTATTTTCTGCCTCTGAAAACCTACTGGAGAGTCAGCTATAGTTGGTCCCTACTTGACAGTACACAACAACCACCACTAAAGGATTTAAATTCAGCTGTTTATGAAGCTTTTAAAAACAATTTCTTTTCATTTGTGTTTAGATGACAATACTAAGATGGTCTTTGTCCATTGTTAACTTTCTGATCATACACTCCTAGTGACGGGTTTGAGAGGAGGCTTATGAGGAAAGCAACCATAAGTAATGAGTTTGCAGATGGAAAACTTAAGTTCACAGTTACCTTAATTATTAATTGTTAGCGGTCTGCAGATTACTAACGTGATCTATTCCTGTTTGTCCTTCAGTTCTGCCACTGGACCAGGTGTCTTACTTAAATTAACCTTGCTTTTTAATGCAAGAAAAAGTTCAGAGCCTTTTCGGTGTTTAAAAAATTATGTAAGTGAAGGTTATTGAGGTGAAGGATTTGTTGAGAGTAGAGGGTGGTTCCTTTGTTTCAGAGAGTAGGAAATTTATGTAATAGTGGAATAGGGCTTCCAAGGTCCCTGCTCTAAAATGGCAGTGCTGCACTCAGAGGTGATGGCTAACTGCTGCTTTGAGTGTGTGGCTCCCTGCTCTGCTGCAGGCAACCCAGTCTTACGCAGCAACTTCCCAGTGGGCTCGCTATGCCTTTTCCAGGCTCTCACTCCAGGGCTTTGACCTACAGGATTTTTTCCATCTGGTTACCATGATGAATCAGCCAAATTGTAAAAATTCCATTCTGTTCCTGTATTGCTTTATCAGCCATGATAGAACCATTTCAAATCCCTGCTTTACAGGGCTGGAGTTGTCGATAAGTCAGACATTTCTAATGTGACTGCTGCCTGTATGTACTGTTTTGGTTTGAGGGAGGAGCAGAATTTCTACTTAGTATTGCAGTTTGTGTGTGTGTGTGTGTGTGTGTGTGTGTGTGTGCGCGCGTATTTCATTGATCTTAAAGGCTCGTCTCTTGGAGGAATTTTATGACATTTCTTTTTAAGTATTAGACAGTTATTACTTGGCTAATGTTGAAAATCATCCATTTACCGACTATTAACCTTAATTATGTCTACAGTTATGAGTACTTTAATGCTTTGTCTTGTCTATAATGCCCTATTTTTGCTGTTTCTTTTTTTTTCTGTCCATCCCAGTCACCTCTTCTATTGAAATGGAGCCTCTTAGTATTTTTGGACTATTTACTGGATTTGAATTTATTTCTTCTTCTAGGACTTACTTCTGTGGATACAGAAACATACAGAAGTAGAAACTGTAGACCTTGTATTGAAGCTAAAAAATAAACTGGTATGTAGCCAAAGCAGATGAGACTTTCTGTGAAGGTATTTCCTCTCATTTCAGCTCTTAATATACCATGGACCACAACAATAGTTTTCTTCAGTAAAAAGATTTGTGACCTATCAATTGATAATGTAGATCTTCAAATGATATAAAATTCCTGGTCACTTAAGCAGATCATTATGATGCCATATATTTGATGAGCTCTACAAAAATACTCTAGAGAGCTCTACAAAAATATTGTCACTTATTCTGGTGAAGCCTGAATATTGTCTGTGACTTTACATCAAAGCCTTTCATTGAGCCAAATAACATGGTCTTTAGATGGCATATCCTGACTTTTTCTCCTCATCCCCAGAGTTTTTGTAAATTCTGATCTAAGTGAGATCTGAAACTTTCAAAGTCATTAGACTGTCTAGAGACTCGTGTTACTATAAATTGAGAAGATACTTTGCTCCTAAATGTTCTTTCAACACTAACAACAACAAATGTTCTTTCTGCAGATGCAGGCTGATCGAGAACGTTTACCTGTGAGACCTGACACTATGGAAAAGTTGCGGACACACATAGACACAATTATCTTAGCATTGCCAGAGGACCTCCGAGGCATTCTGCTCAAAACAGGCATGACGTGATAGTTGCCAAGATTCTCATGTAAGAAGGATATGCACCCCAACGCAGACTGACATTTCAACCAAACGCACAAAAGAGATGTCTCCGGGGCAAACAAGTGGAACTCAGCTGTGAATGCCAGCTACAGAGGGGAAAGATTGTACTGTATAAACAGACATTTTTAGTGCATTATTTTTTAAAATGGATATCCGTGATGGTTCCACTTTAATACTGAAACACCGAAAGACATTTCTATATTTTTAATCATGTTTCTAAAGTGCTCTTATGAGAGACCTGTGGGGCCATCAGTGTAAGTGATTCCAAACTGCAGTGCTGGCATTGCAGGTATTTTTTTAAATTGGTGCTGCTTTGCCCAATCATATAAAACTCAGGGGGATATAAAACGAACATTCACACTGGCTAGCTTCTTAAGAAGAAGGGAAAGACTGACTTGTTCAACTAGAGTTAGAAGTAATCAGTACTTATGTAGTGCCTTCCGTTGTCCTGCTTGTCTCAGAGTCCAGCTACTAGTCTGTTTCTTATCATGATACATAATTTTATAATCGTTCTCTTGGGTAACCAGTGCTTAACAATTAATTTCTTGCCTCCCACTGTTTATTACTAGGTTGATTTGGTTTGGTGTGTTTGGGGTATATTTTTTTTTTACCAGTTGCCATGTATAAGACTTTAATTTCATTAGCATTTTCAATATTTAAGCAACAGTTTCTTCAAAGGCAAGATAATATTAGTATTAGTTATTACTAATTGAGCCCTTTTAGATTAATTGAGTGTTTTTCAAAGACATTTGAATTATAAACCTCATCATGAGCTGTGTTTTGAAACTGAGCTACTCTTACTTCAAATATATTTTGAAGCCTTTTATGTGACAGTCATTGGAGCATTTATAAGATTGGTTTTTTAGTGGCATTATTTGTTTAGTTGGGTTTTCTTGTCCCTAACATTTCTCAGAACACTTTTCCTACTGTTTTTGACATGGGATCTTTTGCCTGGATCACTGTTATAGCTTGGGATTTTTTGTTATTGTTGTTTGTGTATTTGTTATTTTTCTTTTGTTTAAACTGTATCACCTTGCCAAAAATAGAATAATGTGGTCAGGTAAGGGAAGATATAGCTTGGTTTGTGTTTGAATAGGAGTGTCCTACAGAAGGCACTATTTAAAACAGGAACACACGGCTTAGCACATATGTAAATAGCTGTGTCTTGAACTCCCCTATAAGTAACCAAATATAGTTGTAATTATTTGTACAAGAAATGGCTTCAGACACTATCTTTTATTCTCTCTTGGTATAATGAATAAGGGACGCCTGACCCAAGAAAAGGGAGCTGTATTGGCCTAGTCTGTGCATGACTTGTAACAGAAAGGTCACATGTGTCCAGTGGTTCAGATCCACCAGCAGCTTTGAGGGGGGATGGACATTCTCTTCCCATTGCAATTTACAAGTCGCTAGAAGGTTGCTGGAGCTCTGGTGGCCTGGTGGTAAGAAGCTGCTTTGCCGTCTCAGAGACATGCAGTTTGAATCCACCAGTTGCTCTGCTAGAAAAGGATGGGCATTCTCTTCCAGTGTGATCAGCTGCCTCTGAAAATGTACTAGAGGGTAAATTGCAGGTCAGTTCTGACCTGACGACACAGCAACAACAGAGAATTCCTAAGAGTTGGAACTGACTCAACAGCAGGCAGGTAGTGATCTGTTTGTAATTGTCTTCTCATATCCAGATGTGCGCTTTCCTCATGGACACAGTAGTCTCTTCAAGCATACCTCAAGTCAGAGAGAGAAAAGAGCATCTGAAAAAAAGCATCTGCCTTCGATCATAAGGAATTATTTTGTGCAACCACAGTTGTCCTTATAGAAAGGGGGCAACTCCTTTTATATGCGAAAATATTTCCTATGTTTCTGGGAAACCTTATTTAGGTATAAACAGTCAGCTCATTATTTTTCAAAAAGATGTATTTTAATAATCTTACAATTTCTAAATAGTCTGACCAGACTTTGAAAGTTGTTAGTGTCATATCAAGGATCTTTTCAATTATACCACTACATTTCAAGTTTATTTTGCACAGCTAAAGAGTAGCAAAAGATTCCAATTAGCATGATAATGGTGTCTTGATATTTTCTCTTTCTCTGAAACCTAACACATGTTTAAAATTCTGTTATACCTTCCAGGTTTACTTCTCAATTTCAAACTATGTACTTGAAAAAATAATTTAAAATTGCATTGGGAACCTGAAAAAGATTGACTAAGTAGCTTAATCTTTGTGTGATTTTTCAGAAATTTTTTTTTTTGAGGGAACTTTGTTAATGACTAAATTCTGCCATTTAATGTTTATGTCCACCAGCACCAGAAGGAATCACTGCTTTAAGGGTGTCAGGTAATGCCTAGTGCCTTCTAGTTACAGTGTAAGAGGTATTGTGAAGGCACTATGTTCATTACTGAAAACAATTAAATGCCTTGGATTTTAAACCACTTGAATATCTTGTGTTGTTATTTCTGAGTAGGAATAGAAAACGTTAAAAAAATTCACCATTAATTTGAATGTACTGCTGTTCATGAAGAGCAGGCGAATAGAACAGTCCAGCTTCGTTGCAGGCAGATCCTTTGTGGTTTAATTTCCTAGAGAAGATCCTGGAGAGTCTAGAGGATCCATGTGAAACCATGTAAATTTCCACATTCTGATGAAATTTTAAGTATTGTTAGAATGTCATTTTTTTTAACCTTTAACTTCAAATTATTTTTCTTTTTTTCCTTCTTAAAAGTTGAAACTTAGGGGGAAATACGTTGCACCTTGTTACTGTTTATTAACATTAAAGAGACGTAGTAGGTATTACTTCTTTTTAAAATTACAATCATTTTTGTAAAAAATTTTTATTGGTTTGCATACTGTACTTTGTTTACATTGTGTTTCATTCATGTCATTGGTGAGGTTTTATTCACCCCCTCCCTCTACCCACCAAACTCGGTGACCCCATGATTTCCTCCCCTCCCCACTCTCAACCCTTTGTTCCCTCCCCTGCCCTCTTTGGATATCCATACACACCTCACTGGTTATCCTTCCGTTTTTACAGTAATGGTCTTTTATGGTATTCTTATGCGCCTGAGTTAGTTCACTCAGCACAGTGCTCTCTAGCTTCTCCCATGCAGTGGTTTTCAAAATTGTTGCTTCTCAGTGCTGCATAGTATTCCACAGAGTTCTATTTTTCAAAGTATACTATATTCTAGTAGGTTTAAAAAATATGGCATTAAAATTTGTCTTTTGCTTTTACTTGTTTATAATTTATTTCATAAGTTACTACAAACTTTCTCCTTTTCAGTATAACTTGGTTGGAAAAAATGAATTAAAAATTATTAATATCAGGCTTATTAGTGAAAGAAGAAATAAATACAAGCAGACAAGAGTCAGGCAACAGTCCCTTCTTGGGAGTGAGAAGAAACCTGATTTAAAGTGTTACAGTGTTAGTTTCTAATACGAATTCTCTTAACAGGAGGCAGTTGAAGATGAAATGTTTCTCTGATTATAAGTATCTTCTATATAGCAAAATGTTAACACACAGTAATGACTCAATTTTTTTTTTACTAAATTCTTATACATAACTTTTCTTTCAGATAAACAAGATATAATACTTATTACAATCTCCAATTCAGTCCAATTATTGTATTACATCAGTAGAAATTAGTTATGTTAATAAACTAGAGCTCTGTGACTTTCCCCCCAATTACATGTCTCTGAAATAAATGAAAGATACAGACTCATGACTCCTAAAATTTATCCCATATCAAGCTTTTTCAATAAAGATTTTTTTTGTATGTGATTTTAACAAAAGTTTACAGAAAAGTTGGATTTTCATTCACTCATTGCTGCACACTTT